AAATTACCGACGATAACGAGTTAAGTTAGGAACGTCTTTGCATTGTAATGTAGATGGGGACGTGTCACAGACCAGTGACCGCCCCCTATAAGGGGATATATCTGAACTTAGTTTTTTCATGGCAAGATTTTTATGTGAAAACGAACAAGTTGATAAATATATAGCCTCTCTTACACTCCCCAGAGATATATTCCGTCGGGGATTAGAAAGTATTCATTTAAAACTTGAATTTGACGAAAACAATACAAACGTTCTTTGACTGAATTGTTGTTTAACGCCGCACTCAGCAATATTCTACCTATATGGCGGCGGTTTGTAAGTAATCGAGTCTGGACCAGACAATCCAGTGATCAACAGAATGAGCATCGATCTACGCAATTTGGATACGATGACATGTGTCGACCAAGTCTGCGAGCCTGACCACCCGATCCCGTTAGTCACCTCTTACGACAAGCATGGGTTACTGAAAACCAATTCTAAACCGGATCTTCACGAGATCATTGATTATAGGTTTAAACACACCCATGATATCCATATGACATGGCTTTCCTCTTGTTTGTCAAATTTGCAGAGCTTCATCAACCATGAGGGTTTAACTAAAGTATATTTAAGAACATCACGGCCGGCCACAAGTCAGAACATCGCTGATGACCCCAAGTCAGAACATTACGGACGGCCCCAAGTCAGAACATCACAGACGGCCCTAAGTCAGAACATTACGGACGACCACAAGTCAGAACATCACAGACGGCCAAAAGTCAGAACATTATGACCGGTCCTTATTCAGAACATCACAGCCGGCCCCTAGTCAGAACATCAAGGACGGCCCCAAGTCAGAACATCACAGACGGCCCTAAGTCAGAACATTACGGCCGGCCCTCAGTCAGAACATTATGACCGGCCCTTAGTCAGAACATCGCGGCCGGCCCCAAGTCGGAACATCACGGCCAGCCCCTAGTCAGAACATTACGGCCGACCCAAGTTAGAACATCACGGACGGCCCAAGTCAGAACATTACGGATGGCCCCTAGTCAGAACATCACGGACGGCCCCTAGTCAGAACATCACGGACGGCCCCAAGTTAGAACATCACAGACGGCCCCAAGTCAGAACATTACGGCCGGCCCTTAGTCAGAACATCACGGACGGCCCCAAGTCAGAACATTACGGACGACCCCTAGTCCACTCACCATCCTCTTGGTACTTCTACTCAGCCTGCACTGATTTTCAGCTTTAGAAATCAAGAGACTTCAGAGTTCTGTAATTCTGGAAAACTTATTCTACATAATAATATGTAAGGGATTATATGCTCGTCTATGTTACATGTATACATCATCCACATTACGTTGTGGTAATTGTATGATAATGATGACGATGACTAATGATGATTAAACCAATCATGATTATTGCCTAACGCCATGCCACCATAGCCGCACCACGTCGCAGTTTATGTAAAGATAATTAGCTTTGTTCCTTGTATGGGATGAGAAGTGGGAAGAAGCCAGCTTTGCCAACCTTCGCTCGCTTTGCATTTGCTTGATTAACATTAGGACAACGAGAGAGAAGGAAAGAGAGAGAGGGAGGAGGGGAGAATCAGGGGTTTTTGCTATTCTTTTGTGTGTGTGTGTGTGTTGTGTGTGTGCGCGCGTGTGCGTGCTGTGTACCTTGTATTGGATGGGGAGTGGCAACGGTAACTCAATTTAAACAGTAACTTAATTCACTTTTGAGAGAGAGAGAGAGAGAGAGAGAGAGAGAGAGAGAGAGAGAGAGAGAGAGAGAGAGAGAGAGATGTGGCTTCAGTCCACATTCACGCACTTAAAATTGACTCGTGAGGGAGAGAGCTGGTGGTGTTTAGTGCTCTGTCAGTATATTGTTATAAATACACCACATATCGCCCTAGTTAAGTGTTTTAAAACAACGAAATCAGTACACTTCAAGGAGAAGGCGGCACCCTTGCCTACATCCCATCCACACACCACCCCCTACAGCCCTGAATCTCCATCAGGGGAAATCATTGGCATGAAAGCTAGGTCTTTCAGAAATACCTAATCAATCATTCTATACAAGGACAGTTTGAAATGAGCGTTCTTGCCAACCGTTTCCGAACTTGAAAATAGTTCTTTCTTTGAGGGGTACCACCCACATTCGTGGGATCACAAGTAGCTGACGAACCCTGTAAACGATCACCATCAGTCACACGGTACTTAGGCTACTTGAACACTAACGGTACTTGGTGAAACTGATATGGCATGACGGGCTAGCGGGTCATTACGTGGCGTTAAATACACGTTTTATTGTCTTGACCCCGGGACAAGGGTTTATAATGACATTTGGGAGGTCTTTTCAGCTGAGTTCCCTGGGGTCATGCCGGGACTGTTTGGCTCTCAGTAGAAACCAGACACTGTGACATCGTCCAGATTAGACAGGTTTCGGATAAATATATCATTATGAAGAGATAGACACAGAGTATGGCTTAAGTTTATATTCTAGGACTTAAAAATAGGGAAACGAGAGAGAGATGGCTTAAGTTTATATTCTCGGACTTAAAATTCAAATGAGAGAGATATTGCTTAAAGGCTAGTTTTCATTCTCGCACTTAAAATTAGGGAAATGAGTGAGAGAAGGCTTGAGTTTACATTTTCGCACTTCAAAGAAAGAAAAGGAGAGAAATATGTCCTAAGTTTACATTCTCGAAATCCAAATTAAGAACATGAGAGAGAAATCGCTTAGGTTTACATTCCCGCACACTCCTTATATAAAGTTTCCAGCAGCTGGTGGGTGTCCGTCTCTATGGATAGTAACAGTTACCAGTTCAAACAAATAAATCATCAAACAAGTGTTAAGTCTACAGTCGGGGTCGTTGTCCAGCCTATTTACTAGCGTCACGGGAGGTGGGGTAGCCTAGTAGTTAAAGCGTTCGCTAATCACGCCGAAGACCCGGGTTCGATTCCCCACATGGGTACAATGTGTGAAGCCTATTTCTGGTGTCTCCCGTCGTGGTATTATTGGAATATTGCTAAAAGCGGTGTCAAATTAACTCACTCACTCACTCACTCACTGCTAGCGTCACATGCATAGCCAAAAATCTTCATTTGGGTGGACAAATAACTACATGTAGATAGTTTATTTCAGTTTCATTTCAGTACAAGCTGAGACTTGTGCAAGTATGATAAATACATACATCACGCCATTCGTGATATTAAATGACACAAGTGCCTGCACCCGTGAGGATCCGGGTTAGAACTGGCCTACGGTAACCCATGCTTGTCGTAAAAGGCGACTAACGGGATCGGGTGGTCAGGCTCGTGGACTTGGTTGACACATGTCATCGTATCCCAATTGCGTAGAACGATGCTCATGCTGTTGATTACTGGATTGTCCCGTCCAGGATCTATTATTTACAGACCGCTGCCATATAGCTGGAATATTGCTGAGTGCAGCGTTAAACAACAAACCAACCAATGTTAAGTCATTGTGGTTTATAGAACTTCTTACAACAGAAGCGCAGGGGCGGCCTGGCGCAGATGCCGCAATTAGCTATGCAGAGTTGCCTCCCTTAGCTGGGCTGAAACTTGTGATGGTGGGTTCGATGAGCAACATACTGTGCACGTGGGTCTCACCAAAGTGGCATATGTGTAACAATCTCGATCACTTTCCTCGGCCACTTTCCTCGGGCATTCCTATCAGTAATGAGGCACCTCGTCTGATAACTTCAGCGCTGTACAAAGCGGGATTAAACCCAACTCACTCACTCACTCGCTCTACAACGCAACCCGCTAGATCCAGAAATCCACAATCTGGACAATAACTACATAATATGTAGGACGCTACTACATTAAATTAGGACATACCTGCATATAATTAAGGACATAACATAAATTACGGACATAGCATCTTATCATTAAGGACATAACATAACATTAAAAACATAGCTACATATAATTAAGAACATAATATGAACTTATGGACACATCTACATATAATTAAGGACATTACATAAAATTAAGGACATCGCTACATATCAAGAAAGAAATTAAATTAAATTTTAAGGACATTGCTACATATCATGACGGACATTTCATTAAATTAAGGACATAGCTACATATTATTAAGGACATTACATAAATTATGGACCTATCTACATATCATTAAGGACATTACATAGGGTTAAGGACCTAACTACATAATATTATGGACAGAAATACATTGCCATTCGCTTGTAAAGAAAGTACAAAATCAGGTGACGGCGCTGATCCGAATGACGAGGTTTCTCTGTATTTTCCAGATTGTCGATTCCGTATTTATTTTTAGTTCAAATTTATCAAAACAAATCCACGTACGAGTGATTGACTTCAATTTTTAACGTCGCTGTCAGCAACATTAGTGCCGGTAAATACGCGCGCCTGAGGCAGACGTGTCAGCAGCCGAACACGAGCGACGACTCGCGACATCTGGACAGGATGACACGCGCGTCACCAGACCTGGTCACGTGACCCACATGAGCTGCCATTACAGCACCTTGGTTCCAAGGCTATTATCTACCTGGACCCACGGGATAAATAAACCTGCTTACATGTAACCATCGCAGTTCATATAGCTGTACATTGTCACGTGCCCTGTTGCTAAATCTCTTCGTCAATCGATATAAAATATTCCATGAAAATATTTATTAATATTTCAGGAAAACTATTTTTCTTTTTTGTTACTGTCATACAAATCCGAATATATGTTTCTGATATAATTTGTTATTTATGCCTGATATATAATCTGCAACATCCGACATATTGATTCCAGAACGATGTTCTAGCGCTACCAACATCGACAAGACTTAATGCAACAGGTATAGGCGGAACTACCAACCGGCTTAGGAAAGGCAATTATGTTCATTACAACAGATATTCTTAAATGAACACATCAGGCAATACAAATTATTAGCTCAGAAAATATATATTCATTAGCTAAAAATATATTATAGTCTAAATAAAATACAGTATTCTCACCTGCTACCGTTTGCGTGTAGCCTGCCAGTCGGGTCGGCTTCTTTCTATAGTCAGCTGGAATGATGGCCACACATATTGCAATAAATGCCCCAAGACACAGCAGTCCGCACCCCCCTCCGTACAACACACATGAGGCCTGCCACGCCCCTGAGGGGATGCTCCCCAGGTTGAAATTACCCCCATAGGCGAGGCAAGTCTCCCTAGAGTAAGCGAACCGGGTGTTTCCGAAGCAGTAGCTGATGAGCCCGAAGGAGTGGGTGTAGTCCAAGTGGATGAACCAGAATGGTTGAAGAAAACTGAAAGTACATGTACCCGCAACTAAAACTGACAGTAGAGCCCATATCATCAGTATTGGTGACGGCATGGCACCATCCCCGGTTTCTGGTTCCGAAGTGGACGTTTTAAGTCAATCATGAAGGTCGCCCCTTAATCGACGTTGATCACATTTTGGAAGTTTACCAGTCGCGTCGGTTCGATATGGTTGTTTAAAGACCACTTGGTACACAACAGGTCATGTGTCGATCAAACTAGGTGTTAAGTACATAGGTCTAAACTATCCCGTGGTGAATGAGACCCAGCGTCCATCGCACAAGTTCCGCACGTGAGTGTCTCTCACTAAAGTCATTAGAAATAGCGTTAAAACGGTTCATTAGCGGAAGCAGCCTTCTTGTCTTTGAAGCTCGGGGTTAGTGCACACCCAGCTGACGGGAGTCCTCCAAGCATGTTCAGCGAAAGTCTGCACCTCCCGAGCAGACGACAACTTCCTGGCGTTATCTCACGGATATCAAGAACAATCATTATTGTGCGAGCATCGCTGAGAATCAATACGGGACCTATGCCCTATTCGGCGTCACTTGCAGGTACCGTCGAGCCTTCATTTCGCTCGGACAGCCGGCCGCCAACCAGCCAGCGCGTGCAGAGAGCGAGAGGAGCACGCGCTACTCGCCAGGCGTCTCTTCGCAGAGGAGGAGGGCGGGAGGGTCGCTTGTGTGGAAATCAATTACAGAATGTCTTATATTTCCTCTGACCTGAGGGTATGGATTTACCATATGGTGCCAAGTCAAGCCGTGACCAATCGGTTGTATTGGTTTTGAGAGGGTTTTGCTGGGGATAAATTCATCAAACGTTGCCGCTTCGGTTGCCGTAGAATTTGAGATGGTGTTTATACAACAGTGAATGCAAAAGGCCGACTCTGCGTGGGCCCGGTTTCAATGGTGTTTGGTAAATGTTAGAGTGATTTTGTGGATCCTTGTAACACCAAAAGGTCAATTCAGGCGATTGTATGTGTTAGGATACTTAAGTAAGCTAAATGAATATTCAACAGAGAATCCCGAGCGACACACACAAGAATCGACTGACTAAGTATTTCTCTTAAGTTGCGAGGATAAATTACTGCCCATCTCTCTCTCTCTCTCTCTCTCTCTCTCTCTCTCTCTCTCTCTCTCTCTCTCTCTCTCTCTCTCTCTCTCTCTCTCTCTCTCTCTCTCTCTCTCTCTCTCTCTCTCTCTCTCTCTCTCTCTCTCTCTCTTGAAATTAAATTATTAAAGGTTAGGTAACCTACGCCACACACGCGCGCATGCAACCTTTTACACATACACGCACCACACACACGTATGCACACGCACGCACACATTTACAAGCGCACATACTCACGAAGTAACAAATACCCCTGACTATATATTTGCCCCTCAAGACAGTATGTCTTTAGGTTGGAACGCAGGCATACATATCTGTGATCCACAACATTGAACATGCGACCCGAAAACGAAGGGCTGTAATTTCTGTCTGTTGAAATTAGATTACTTAACAGAACAGAACGGCCTGTAAATGTTCCTGGTAAGCACTCCGTTTGGTGTTGGTGGCTGCGGGAACTGCGGTATAGATTTTACATCTCTGCTGACAGTATTCCATGGTTCACGTCAATGTGTAGTCATGGACGGTTGTGGTTGGAGTTAGCCAGTTCTCCGGGAATATCGACCGGCAGTGGTATCCGTCAGGCGGAGTGAGTGAGTATTTCCGCCGACTCTCACTGTTTCCATTGCTGAATACTGAGAGAGCACACGTTGGGTTGGAGGGTGCCTTGCTCCAAGGATATACTGAATGGTAAGTCCATGGAAGTATAGCTGTTGTATCCTTTAAAGAGACTAGTCTAGATAAGCGGACAGTTCTGAGTACGCCAGTTTGTTATTCATATTAGTTATTAACTTAGAAACTTGTGCAAGTCTAGGTGGGATGCTCAAGGTGAGTGAGTGAGTGAGTAAGTTTAGTTTTACGCCGCACTCAGCCATATTCCAGCTATATGGCGGTTGTCTGTAAATAATCGAGTCTGGACCAGACAATCCAGTGATCAAAAGCACCAGCATCGATCTGCGCAATTGGGAATCGATGACATGTGTCATGCAACCAAGTCAGCGAGCCTGACCACCCGATCATGTTAGTCGCCTCTTACGACAAGCATGGGTTACTGAAGGCCAATATTTTAACCCGCACCTTCACGGGTCATGCTCAAGGTGATCATGCATCGTGTAGCGTCTGGTTGAACGCGTGTGCGTGTGTGTGTGTGTGTGTGTGTGCGTGTGTGTACGTACGTGTGCGTGCGTGCGTGCGTATGTGCGTGTGTGTGTTAGCTCGCGCGTGGGGAAGCCTAGTGGTTAAAGCATTTGGTCGTCACGAGGAGACCCGGGTTCGATCAATGAGTACAATATGTGAAGCCCATTTCTGGTGTCCTCCGCCGTGATATTGCTGAAATATTCCTATAAGCTCGCGCGTGGTTCTAGTTCTCCGTGTTCCGACTTCACTGGGGAGTGGTCTGGTGTGTGGGTGTGCGCGCGTGCGTGCGTGCGTGCAAGCGTTAACGGCACCTTGTCTATCACTCATGTGACAAATCAAATTACTCGTTGTGGCAATCAAAGCATCTTCCCGATGCCGTTTCATCCGGGTCTTGGCTTCCCCCTCCCTATGTCTTTCTAATTTGAATTCTTCACTATCGATTGTTACTAATGATTGTCACTATTGATTAGTATTTGATTAGTAACCCATCCTAACGGAAATACAATCCACCCACGAGACAAATGACACAGAGCAGAAGAGTCTGCGTGATCAACACTGATGGAACCAGATGTGCATTGATGGCAGTCAGTGCTCATGCTCAGATTCCGGATAGGAATGGTACTGAACAATCTTGGGGCGTTGGGGTAGCCTAGTGGTTAAAGCGTTCGCTCGTCACACTGAAGACCTGGGTTCGATTCCCCACACGGGTACAATGTCCATTTCTGGTGTCCCGCGCCGTGATATTGCTGGAATATAGCGGTGTAAAACCATCCTCACTCTATCTGGTCTTAATTAAGACGATTAACTGGACTGGGTGGTCAACTCGTCGGTCAACGCACCCTGAAGGCATGGATTATTGCTCTTAATGTCGATCACTGGATTGTCTGATAAATGGATTATTCACCGTAGGCGTCATATAGCTGGAATATTGTTGAACGCAGCCTTGTAACTGCAAATAAACAGCCGGGTTCGGGGCCGGGGTCAAGCCTGTTTGATAGCCAAAAATCTTCATTTTGGTGGATAAATAACTAGACAATTTATCTTAGTCTCACCCCAGTACAGCCCGAGATTTGGGTGAGTATAATATGATGTTCAAAAAAAGAACAAGCGTTTTCAGCAGTTTATTTCGATATATACTACCCATCAAAGGTTTAGACTCACTTAAAGCACTCACTATATGTTATGCATATATGTGTGGTTACATCGAAGATGAATTTCTCCACTAACTTTGGGGAACCAACTGCAAACTTTATGTAGATGAATTGCACGAGGATCATGCATTAAATTGCTAAAAAGCATGTGCAAATATCGTGCATGTGAACAGCTGTGTTGGGGTATAAAATTTTGTTAAAAATTCGCCAATTTTCATTCAGTTTCATCATTTTTTAACCCCTGACAATAATCTTTTCAACGTTACGAATTTGTTTTATAATACACCAGTTCATGTGTAAACAGTACCTTTAAACAGTGTGGAAAATGTTCCAAAATCTAGTTTAGAAGAGTTGACTTAAGTAAGTGGCTACATTTACACTAGTGAGTCTAAACTTTTGAAGGGGAGTATATTTTGACAGCAATCGTAATGAAAACATTTCCTATGTTTGAACGTCGTTAATTTCCTAAACATGAATCAATATCGAATGCATTTTTACAACCTCTAAAATTAGGCCAATCGGATTGCCCAATTCAGTTTCTGCGGATCTGCTCAGATCACTGGAATGTCAAGGCCGTCTATGGCCGACAAGTGAGTATGATAGCCGATGGTTTTGGAGAAAATGCCTGCTTACTGTAGAGGAAATTATGTGTAGATGTTGCAATAAGTTTATAGTCCCGTGGAATGCCGCTGCCGATCGAATCTAGCCCTACAGAGGTGCTATCAACGTGGCCGGAATTAATAAACGAATTTAAAAGGTGAGTTTTCGCTGTCTTGGGTGGACCATGATTTTGGCTTGGAATTGCGGAGGTAGCTGTTTTCGGTGAGTCGTGGCGTATAACTTTTGAAAAAATGATCCGATTGTGACCATTTATAGCTCATTTGTAGGGCAATCATCTTGCTTTCGATCCGTAGGCCTTAAAACTAGTTTACGTGGTGAAATCTAACTTTGATTGAGGAGGGGGTGGTTCTGTCGTTACATCCCTTTCCTTTTATATAGTACTAGGGTAGGGTCTATATACCTATATGTCTCTCTAACGCTGTTTCTAAGCGTGACATGCCCCTGTGCTCAGGACCGATTCATCCGGGTGTTTCACCTACGTCACCGATTTGCTACAGCAACGGACACTGCAGGACAGGTGCCTGGTCTTCGAAGAATTTCCGACCAAATCATCAGAAATCGTCTGAGAGAAGTGGGAATTCGATCATATCGACCAAAAGTTGGACTTGTCCTGACACCACTACACCGACAACGACGTGTCCAATGGTGCAACAGGGCACATGCACGGGACCTTGGTTCATCGATGAATCGCGTTTCCTCCTGCGACGACGGGATGGGAGACAACGTGTCGACGTCGACACGGACGTTTTGCTCCGAACTGCGTTCTACAGGTGGACAGATTTGGTGAAGAGGCGTCATGGCGTGGCTAGTGGTGGTTCAAGGCATTGTTACAGCCAATCACTTCATCAACTAAACCTTGTGACCTCACCTCCTCCCACTTTTTAACCGCCAGAGGGAGATGTTTGAACACGACAAACCCACACAGCTCGTGTAACAGGGGGGCGGTGGGGTATCCTAGTGGTTAAAGCGTTGGCTCGTCACGCCGAAGACCCGGGTTCGATTCCCAGCATTGGTACAATGTGTGAAGCCCATTTCTGGTGTCCCCCGACGTGATATTGCTGGAATATTGCTAAAAGCGGCGTAAAACTAAACTCAGTCAGTCTGTCGTGTAACAGGTGCCTATCTCGCCAATGCAAACGTCAATGTCCTTCCCTGGCCTTCCAAAACGCCTGATTTGAACAGGATCAAGTATCTGTGGGGCGAACTTGATCGACGCGTCCGTAAACGTCACCATCGTCCTCAGACACTTGCAGAACTTGCCAATGCGTTGCAGGAGGAATGGCGAAGAATTCCCCAAGCAAAAATCCGACGACTTGTGCAATCCCTTCCAAGGCGGTGTCGAGCAGTGACGGCTGCAAGGGGTGGTGTCACCAGATTCGCCCCCTTGTGTCCACACATGTGCAGTGAGTGAACTCAGTTATTGCTGACAATGACAACAATACATATGTTCTTCCGTGTGTCGAATTTCCTTTATCTATGTTCAAGCTTAATTGACTAAGGTACACTTGAATACGTTTAATACATTTCCTTATTTTTTGGCCTGTACATTTCGTTTTTGTTGTAAGAGTATATATACATGGCCACTCAATATGGAATTATGAGAAACCAACCAACCAACCAACCAACCAACCAGCCAGCCAGCCAGCCAACCAAC